TTCTCAAAAAATATTTAACTTACAAAAAAAAGTTTCGTACAAAAGTTGTTTAAAAGACAATTATAAACAAAAAAAATATCTCATATTTTTTCATATAAACAAATATTTTTCNTTATATTTTTTCATTTAAACAAATATTTTTCGAGTTACATTACATTTAATATGAGTAGTAAAATTTATATTCCATTTTTTTAATTTTACTGTTACTTTTTATCATGTTACACTTACGTTTGACACAATGTTATAAATGCATATGTGTGTATGTGTGAGTTTATTTATTTATTTATTGTATCATTAAAGTGTAGTGTATATTGAGATACAACCGATAGAGTAGGTAATTGATTTGACGCTATATTATTTAAACCCAACTAAACGCTAAATTGTACATTCCGAAATAACAATCATATTATGTCAATTGCCACCGGAATATCTGGTAATATTTTTCTTTTTCTTTGCCTTAATCCCAACTACTTGGGGTCGGCCACCCTTATCCTAAGCTTCCACTTGACACGATCTCCCACATCTTCTACGCTCACATCAGCTGTCCTCAAATCGCATTCAATAGCATCCCTCCATCTCTTTTTTGGTCTTCCTCTATCTCTTCTTCCTTCAACATTCATTTCTATAACTGTACTTACAGCTTTCGATTCTTCTTTCCTCATACCATGACTAAACAATCTAAGTCTATTTTCTGTCATCTTATCCACGATTGACGCAACACCTATACTTCCTCTTATATGCTCGTTCCTTATCCTATCTTCTCTAGTCACTCCACTCATCCAACTAAGCATTCTCATCTCTGCTACACTTATTCTCTGCTCTACTTTCTTATCAACCGCCCAACACTATGAACCATACATCATAGCTGGCCTCACAATTTCATACTAAATTTAAAAACTATAATTAGTATTTATTCATATATTATATTTTAAAATCAAAGAACTACTAATCAGGATATAATTAAAGAAATAAGAGTTCATGTTGCTTTTAAAATATTTCACCAATTTCTCTAAAGGAAACACTATCTACAGATTTGCATCGAAGCGTTTCTTATGATAGTGATTTTAATCACTGTCAGATATCATCTATACTTGTCCCATCTATGCCTCGTCCACACTGTGCCTCGACCCCACTGTGCTACCGTTTTTTTACATACAGAGTCGTCCAGTATGTTCTGACCACTCATAACATTTAATACAATTAATATTTTTTGGATTTATAGACTAAGTTAATAGCATATTTTTTATGATTTGTTCTTTATAATAAATAATTTATGGGAGATATATGTTATCCTCCCCTTGATTGCGGTTTTATAAAATATTATTTTTGAACTGTATTTCAGACGTTAATTTTCATTTACTTTTTTTTTAAGTTAGCTCAGTAGACATGTCCCGCAGGTAAGTACCATTGGTATTCGCGTGTATAACTCTCCAAGAGAATCTGTTTTAATTAGATTTTTTCAAACTAAATTATCAATCATATTGGTTAATATTAATTTCTATTCGATCAAAGATAGAAAAAAAAATTAATCGTTTTAATTGCAAATTCCAAAAAAATTAAAACCAAGTCTATTTTATTTTTAGTAGTATTAGAAACATTTTACGAGGTAATGACATTAGTCACAATTATTAAAATGCTTTGTTTACTTAAACTCTCGAGAGATGTTAATAGCACTGTCGAAATTTTCGAATTGCATTTCTGGCTGTATAATAGCATTTTTAAAGTTGGTAAATTACATTAAGCACCCCTAATATTGTTTATTATTTGCGCTTATGGTGATGGCAAGATAGAACAGAATACAGCAAAGAATATAATGAATTTTTATTTAAATTTCATCATGTTGTAAAACATTTTGAATAAAAATTTAACGATTTCGTACTATGACTGCTAACCGCCTAATCGTATACACTGATAATAACATATTTGAGATTGTAATGTAATCTTATATCACACAGAACAACATAATCTTGTTCTGTAATATCACTTAATAATCGTAATCATAACTGATACCGGTAATGTCTGCTGGATGGATCGAAATGAACAGAAGAATGTTTAGGTCTCTCTAGCTTTTGTTAAGTCATTTTAAACTATTAATTAATTAAAGTTCTATCATCATGTTGAGTATACTTTCTACGACTTATTTGTTGAAACAGACCCAACGTTTGTCGATGGTTGCATACGGTGTAAGATACCGAAGTCAGCGTAGGAATCTTGGGAAATCGCCGAAAGATGGGAAAACTTTGGCTCAGAGATTACAAGGTAATTGAGCGAATGAAGATGTATTTATAATAAAGATGTTTTAGCATTCCCCTTGATATGGTTCTATTAAATATAGTGTGTATTTAGTCTTACAAATTACCTTATGACTAGTGCTCATAGTAGAATGGGGTAATGAAATTCCCTACTATACTTTCTATGCGCCCATAATTTTTTTATAGTTAAACAGAGTTTCTTTACATATGTTTTTTCAATTTGATCATTGCCTTTAATAGTAAAATCTTAATTATCAGTGATGATAGTGATTTATTCAAACATTGGATAGAATATATTGATCTATTAAATGTATAATTCCTAAAATAATTGTGGTGTATGTTATTTATTCATACGTAATAGTGATCAAAGATATTTGATGATGACCTAATAATCAAATTTCATATCTGTTAATTTTAGCTGTACATTTGGTGTGTTAGTTGTACCCAATCTTTTTATTTTTGTTGTTGTAGAATTGAACTTCAAAAATCCTACAGTACACTATAGAGTAGATATTGGATTACCACCCATTGACAGAGATAGAAAAAAAGAAACAGCTTATCGAATGGATTACATGAAGAAAATCAAATGCAATGCAGAATTAGAAAAATTAGCGAGGAATAATGAATGTTAGCTAATGTTTAAACAAAAACACATTAAATTTATTATTCATTCATAGTTAAAGTATATTAATACATTTAAGATGTTGTACAGCAAAATATGAAATCATCTTCTTTTTTTTTTTTTTTACGTTTCATAATAATGAAATGCAATAATAATAATTTCAAAAATATAAAAAAAAAGTTGGTTATCTTGACAAGTAAATATATCATTTTTCTTAGAAAATCATTATTTATATAATCTAAACATTTATTTATATGTATTTTAAAATTTAAAAATATATAAAAGTTAAAATTAAAAAAGGAGATTGCTGACTTTGCTGTGCAATGGCTCATTTATTCATTTATCTGCTGAACATTTTTTATTATGTTGTACATGTTCAAATTGTATACAATTTTAAGTTATAAATACTATAAGAATGTATTTAAAATATTGACAGTTACAAGCTTATTTAAATTTAATTTCAAAAATATAATTTAAAATGTTTTAACTGTAAAAGAATTATTTATAATTTTTTTTAAATTTTAATGTTTAATGTTTTTTTTTTGTTTTTTATAATTATATTTTTAGTACCTATATCAATGGAAAATATTAATGAAGAGTGGTCCAAAACTAATGCTCCATTGCACATAAAAAAAATAGCTGAACATTATGGGGTTTTCCAACATTTATTTGGTGATGCTTACTTCATGCCTTACATTTTACTGGATATCAATTACAACATAGATGATTCGAGTAATGTGCCTGTTTATAGAGGAAATATTGTTAAACCTAATGAAGTAAAGTGTTGATGTTAAATTAAATTAAGTCGTCTAATTATTTATCAATTAATAGTTGTTTTTACAATACCTTTTTGTATGTAGGCTTTGAAAGTTCCAGAAATTAAGTTTGATGCTCCAGAAGACTCTTTGTGGACGTTAGTCTTAACTAATCCTGATGAGCATTTACAAAAAGAAGACGTTGAATATGTTCATTGGCTAATGTAAGTTAGCTTACATTAGCTAGTAAGTTAGTTTTAAAAACAACTAATGCTATCATAACTTAAAGTAACCAATTATTAGCTTTGATGCATAGTTGAGAAGCTATTGGTTTTACTTTATACTGATTTTTTGTGTCCGTATACGCCATTATTTCCATCCCTATTGGTCTTGTTTTGCTTCATGTTACATAAAAAATCATGAAATGTATCTAGTTGAAGTAATCAGTTTCATAATTTTGACAAATTTCTCTCAATCACTATAATAAAGGGAAATGTTTCAAAAAATACAATTGTCATAAAACAGTCAATGTTGATATTTTTAGTTTTCACTTTATATTGAAATATTTTTATTAAAAATAGATGAATTATTGCAAAATATTTATTCGAAATAGTGTAGACATTAAATTTACTGATGTCATAATTTTGTTTGAAAATTTAATCAATAAACAAGGCTTATCAAATCAATCAATCAAAGGAATCATATCAAATTTTTCTTTTCTTTTCAATTTTTGATAATGTTTTAAAAATATATTTTATTGAAACCTACATTAAATTAAAGCTACTACAATGTACATTAAGATGAAAAAAAAAGCCATCTGAAATCTCGTTTTCAGAAAGATATTCTGAGAACAACTTGTTTTCTATGAGTAGAACTCTAATGTCGATAAATTTTTAAATGATTTTTAATTTGGTATTTGTTTTGAAACTGGTTAATAATAAATAGTTTTATTATAAATCATTTTTAAGTCTATAAACAAAATTATTTTTTTAATTGTAAATATAATTTTCAATACATTAGTAAAAGGAATTTGTTATGCCAAGTTTAAATGAAAAAATATTCAATAAACTTTAATATTCTTATTCTAAACCTCGGTAAATACAACTTCAATAGTTTATAAAGCATATGTTTAACTATACTTATTTTAGTTTAATTATACTCTTTTTAATGTTGATCAAATATATATATCAAAGTGTTTAATTTCAGTAAGTTTAATAATTTTTTCTTTTTCGCGTTATGATCAGTGGTAGATTTAAAATTTTCTTTTTCCAGAAATCAGCAATTTTAATTGCATTGTCTTTTAATTTTTGCCCTAAAAAACCTACTCTCTCTCCTCTTACTATTAGCATTGGGTATTCCAATAGATGCCTTATTGTTTGCACATGTTTTCTTTAGTTCTTCTTACTTCCGATTATATTCTATTAATAGTCTTTCATGTACACTAAGATAAATTGTATCCTTTAGAAAGGCTTCTGTCTCATATTGTACTTTTGTAGCTACCGGTGACTCTTTCCTGCCACCTTTTTTATCTTAACACTATTGGAATTTTTTTGATAGATTCACTAGATTTAATAAATAGTTTTCTAGATTTTAATCGACCCCTTATTTAAACTTTGCCAAACATGGAGTGTCTGTAGTCTTTTATCTGTTTATTCCTTTCTACCATTGCTGCTACTTCTCTTCTTATATTTGAAGGGGCCCCACTCAAAATCTGTTTTTTTCCTACTGGTATGAGATTTAAACATCCAGTAATTATTCTATTTGTGTTATTTAGGATAACGTCTACTTTTTTAGTGTGTGCTGAACTACACCATACTGAACTAGTGTACTTTCCAGATAGATAACACAGGGTTGACATTTGAAGTACCTTTGAACAAGCCTTTCATTTTAATTTTTAGATTATATTATTTCTTATAAATGAATACTTTAATGTTTTCTTTATTTATTCAAAATTATTTCTTGTGTGACTATTACAAGGTCATCAGTGTACAAAAAATTTATTGTTATGGGGCGTCTTGAATGATTATAATCATTAATAATTTTTTGTGTAAATATTAAAAAGTAGTGATGCTAAAACGTTTCTTTGAGGGAGGTAGTTGTATTATTTTTCCACTTGTTATTTTTCTCCTTTAGCATAAAATTAATATTTTAATCAATGTCAGATTACATTTAATTATTATCCAAAAAAATATCTATCAATTCCACTACACTGGGTTCCCACTGCACTTAAATTTTTAATTAATATTAGTAAAAGTCATAATAATAATAGTGTACTTTCTATACAGTCATTTGTATATAGTAAAATTGTATAAAAAAACTTGTCATAATATTTATTATTTTTAAATAAATAATATATTTTGTAATATTTTTAGAGGAAACATTCCTGGTGGAAAAGTGAGTAAAGGAGAAACTGCAATTAGTTATTTACAACCGTTTCCTGCTAGAGGCACAGGTTATCAAAGAATGATTTTTATTCTTTATAGACAATCATCAAAAATAGATTATTCACAACTGACAAAATTAGCTAATGATAATGATAAGTAAGTAAATCTAAAGCCTACAATTTTGTTAAAAATATGATTTAAAATTTAAATCAAATTAAAATATACTTTTATCCTATCCTGTTAAATCATTATAATATGCAAAATTAAAGTAAGATTATTTTGTTCTATAAAAAATTATGCTTCGATGCTAAGAAGGTATTAATTTTATTATTATATGTTTTTCAGGTTTGAATTAGATAGGCGAACATTTAATACATACAATTTTTATCAATCAAGACAAGATATCCTCACACCTGCTGGATTAGCTTTCTATCAAACTGATTGGGATAGCAGTGTAACACAATTTTATCATGAAAAATTAAATATCAAAGAACCTGTGTACGAATATGATTTTCCAGCACCTTACATCAAACCTCAAAAATGGTTTCCTCTAAAACAACCTTTTAATTTGTAAGTAAATTACAACAAATTTCCTGTTATCAATATCTGTGTGTATTTAAAAATACATATTAGAGTTAAATATATTTTATTACATCCACATTATACAAATAGTAGGCTATATCTTTTTTTAAAAATACTTTAAGTTTTTAAATAAAACTAGTTTGTAATGTTATTCAGTATTTTGTTTAACCTAAAATTATTATTTATAAAAAAAAATATATTCATTTAAATAAAAAATTAATGAAGTATCATTTGTATTTCTTTCATTCTAAGCTTCATTTTAGAAGATAATTATTCAAAAATATTATGGATATTATAATCAGATTTTATTAATTTTTTTTTATAAACTAAAGTAATTTTAGATTAAGTGCATTTAAAAATGATTCGCTTATCATTTTTTTTAGATTCATCATACTTTTAAAACTTCATAATAATAATTTATTAATCAATATTATTTTTTACATAGATATATGGATAAATATCGAGATGAAAAACAAATTGCAAAAGAATTTTTGCTTAGAAAACTGAAAAAGAGACACCCATTTGAAAAATCTCCATTACCTCTCAAGTATCCAAATGCTGTACCATTCAAAAAGAGTATTCCATCTTGGCTCAAATTGGAAATGAGGAAAGAAAGAATGAGATGGGGTCGCGTAAATGATTACTAATTTATTTGTTATGTTTATAAGTTATAAGTATATTAAACAATAAATTATTAAAATTAAGTTGTTTTCAGCCTTTTTAAAATAAACTATTGATCAAAAATATAAGAGAATTAACTTAATTTTATTTTTCCCATTTCATCAATAAGTTCTTGCTCTCTATTAGTTTCTTTTGTACTAGTTGCATCAAGTTCTTCACTATTGTTTTTGCTAATTTCTTGATGTGCCCTTAAATAGTCAAACAAAAATGTTGTAGTTTAAGATAAAGTTAATATTTATAAAACAATCATATCATTTTTTAATTGATCTACTTACTTGATGGTTTTTTGGCTGGATAATAATTTGAATGTGGGTATAACTTCTGATTCACGCAACCACAGTGGACTAGTTAAAAGTTGATTTTGTAGATACTTAGAGCTCTTATAACAGATATCACTACAAAATTTCTGAAATTTTTTTTATTAATCATAAAAGAAGCAAGAATGTATTCAAATAATAGATTGTATTCTTTATATATAATTATAGAATGTATCATATTTAAGTGACACTGAAATATGAATATTGTACATTTTTTCTTTTTAAATATTAAGAGGAGTCAATTTATATTTTAAGTCTTAATTATGAAGTACTTTTTATAAAAAATATATTTATTATACATGAAAACTAAAGTAATTAGAAAATAGTAATTCTTTAATAAAAAAGGTAAAAATTATAGTTCATAAATGTAAAAGCCAATGAGACAAAAAATTAATAAATTAAAAAAAAGCTTGTATATTAATAGTATTAACTATCAACAGTTAATATTTTAATACCTTCCTTTCGGTAATATCATAAACTTTATTATGAAGTATTGAAATCTGGTATTGTTGTTTTGGAATATATGTCAATTGTTGTTGGCACATAAAATAACCACATTTTTTTACTATAAATCGTTCTTCCACTACGTCTTCATAATGGCAAACATTTATTTTACCTATCTGAAATTAAATACAAAATATGAAAAAACTACTAAAATAGATGACAAATTTATAAATTATTCAAAAAATCACTTTAATCTATTAACACCTTAAAAATCCAAAAAACTAGTGAAGTGATTTAATACAGTCCACAACACAGTGCCAATAGAGCCTCATGAGTACTATGGGTCTGTTTAAATTTAGTTGAAAAGAAGTTCATTAATTTATTTTTATCATTATTTTATAATATAAAAATTTTTTTAAGAACAAAAAATTAAATTTACATTTGATGTCGCATAAATCTGTCACACATTAAAAATTTAGAAGACTATGATGTCCTTACGATAAATCATTACAATAAAATCAGACTTACTCAGACCTTTATTGTAGTTTGTACCTAAGTGGCTCAGCTAATGGATTTTAGCTCTTTCCCTTTCTCACAAACTATAAAATATTAGGAATATAAAGAAATAAGTTTAGCCTCTTTGATTTTTAGCTTCGATGCGAAGCTGAGAAGGTATTGGTTTTACTATGATGTGTTTTTT